ACTGAGGAGACTGGCTTTTTCTGTTTGGTCTCTAAAGTTCTTTTCAATTTCGTTTAGTCAGGGCAAGTGTCCTTTTGACCATGTCTTCTGGTTAGCTCTCCTGGTCTTTTGATCATGGGTTTCCAGCTTCTGTCTAGATCCTCGTTACAGTTTTGCTAACACTGTAGTGGTTCATCATTTTGAAACATGCAAGTCGCTTACGGAAATCAAGATCCGGGGCAGACCAGAGCCTACTCGATTGGATCTCGATGAATGGTCGCCCGGCAGACTGTTCAGGCTGATCCGGCCGTCTGTCTGTCTGAAGTTGTCAATCAGACAGACGATGTACTCACCCATACAAAGTCTGGGAGGTTATAGCGCTGTGTGGAACACAGGGTCAATTTAGCTGACCTGCCTGTACTGTTTTATGGCCATATCTACAATGTAGTATCCTAGCCGGCAAATTTAGAACCAGGTGCTAAAACTGAGTTGTGCAATTGTATTTTGGTTCTCAAATGTAATAGGACTGCTGGTCAGGATGACCTCGTACCGGCACTTTTCAAAGTGAGGAGAGATCAGTAGTAACCTTGACACAGTTGCTTCAATTTGTGTGGACGATGGAGACCATTCTGTGGTTGTGGTGTTACTCGATAATAGTTCCCATATTCAAGAAAGCAGCCCGGGACTCTTGCGAAATCCATAGGGGGTTAACTTGACCCCCAATAATTACTGGGGTCCTGACATCCATTATACTTTTTCGATTCACTGCAGCTGGGGTGGCACACATTAGGCGGGAACAGGCAGAGTTTCGTCCTGAACGAGGAGGCATTGATCGAATTTTTACCGTTCAAACCCTGGAGCAACGTCATCTGTACCGTCGACCGACAATCGCCGTATTTCTCGACTCTAATGGTATGTTCGAGTCATTGGATAGTTCCACACATTAAGAGTCACAAACATAAAAGTGTATCGAATAAGTATATGAAAATACTGTGGACACTTTATTCCCATACTTCAGCACAGTTTGGGATATGCGGTGAACTGTTTGAAAGTTTCAGCACCAGGAGCAGCGTACGAAAGGTTTTTCGCTTTTACCATTTCTATTTAATTTGATCATAAATAACAATGTAGAGTTTTCTTCGGCTTTCGAGTTTTCGGTGTGGATCTGCTTGATCGAATACTGACTGATCTTGATTATGATGACGGCAAGGTGTTTGACAACTTACAAGCAGCACAAACAATGCTAGACGGTATTCCCCACTATCTTGAGTATTTCGGAATGCGTTTTGTAGCCTCAAGGTGCTTATGGAGGATTGTTATGATTACGTAGATTTTTTGTTGGATAATGAAGTCGTAGAGGTTGTTGACCGATTTGTGTACCTGGGAAGATGCCTGAATAGTAGAGAATGAGACAGAAGCGCGTATCTCTAAGGTCAAAGCAGTAGTCGCTGATCTAGGACATCTCTGGCAACGGAGAAAGATTTTTCTAGTGCTTAGGGGCCGCGTATATAAGGCGACAGTGAGGGCTGTATTACTTTACGATTGCGGAACCTGGCCGTTTATAGTAGAAGACGTGAACTACCTTCAGGTATTTGATCATCAATGTCTGCGTTTGAATGTTCGTGTCGATTCTCCCCAACAAATAAGCAACGAGGAGGTTTGGTAATTGTCAAATGAGTTCTTTGGTTCATTTCTTACACTTGCACAAACGGATGTTTAGGCTATTTATTAAGCATGCCAGCTAGTCGCCTACCACACTTAGCGCTACTTGCTGCCACTGCGGGGCACTGATATAAGATGCGGGGTGGACAGGTGTTGATCTGGCGTAGAGAAATGTAATCGTTCATCAAGGGTCTGGCCACTGTGGGTCGGGTCCGTTTCCCGGGCTGGGAACCTCATGACTCACAGAGCCGATGGCTGGAAACGTTGGGTGAGAGCCGGTAATCGGGCTCAGTGGCGTGAATGTGAAGTAAGTGCACTTGATGACGCGAGGCGGTGAAAACCGTTAGGAAGCTGTCTTGCTGACGACACCTTACTTTCGTTTACATCTTGGCTGTTTGTTTGCAAGGTGTAGACACCTTGATTTTGAATATGTGCGTGGTTATTTGTAGTATCCAGGTTCCTCCTATTCCTCTGCTTTCTTTCCCTGGCGCTTGCTCGCTTTTTTCTTCATGGTTGTGTGGCAGTTACGCATCAGTGAGAGCCTCGGATGTATCGCGTGTGCGTTTTCAGTTCTGCTGTGTGGACGAGAGACCTAAATACTTCCTGTGGAAGATGCATCCAGACCCTCGTTATTCGATCACCGCTGTCTGTGCAAATTTGTCTGTATCAAATTCGCCGACTTTGTGAGCAACGTGACAATCTTTGGATGCGTGTTTGAGGAGTGTGCCAGTTCCCGATCGACCGCCGAAAGGGCAAACATGCAGTCTTCGCTGGTGAGTCTGTGCACTCCGTATGACAAAAAAGCGTCTGCCACTTCGCGCATTGTTCGATGTGGCTGCTGGACTGGAAATGGTTGATTCATTGATTTTATGGGATGCGGAGATAACCACCAAAATATTATCCAGACAAAGTCCAAACTGCGTATAACTTAATGGATGGAGCGTTGGGATGTTATTAGCAGCGTTGCTCAAACCGAATCACGTTCGAATGAACTCGAAAATGCCAAAAGGTGTGATAACTGCAGTTTTGGATTTATCCTGCTTGACTATCGATGTCCGATGTGAACTTGATGTTGAGCTTCTTCGTGGCGCTAGGTTGACCGGTCTGGAGTACACGGTTGACATTGTCTTACTTAGCCCATCTGCCGAAAACATGTAGACCATGCTGGACAGGTTGAGCAACCGAGCTGGTTTGTGTGGAATGCGCTTCGCACCTCCAAAGTGCAGTGTTGCTTCCATACTGGGGCATTCTCACTCCTACTTTCTTCATTGCAAGTAATCCGCTTGAGACTGGACTGTTTCACATACTTGGGTAGCACTATCTCGTCAGTCTGTAATATTGCTGATGAGGTATAGGCGAGGATAGCAAAGGCACGCGTTGCCTTTGTCAAAATGCGTCATCTGTGGCGTCGAAAAGACGTTTGGTTGTCGCTGAGAGGAAGATTATATAATGTTTGTGTACGTTTTGTTTTACGTCATGGTTCGGATAAGTAGCCTATTCGCATGGAAGATACCAGCAGGCTTGCTGTGTTCGACCATCGTTGTCCCCGCCAATTGGCCCATACTAAGTGGATTGATCGCATGAGCAATGTGGCAGTTCGTCGGCGCGTATTCCGGAACGCTCGGGGTGTGCTATCAATTGGTCAACTAATCACGGTACACAGTTTGCGATGGTTGGGTCAGGTACTCCGTATGTCATCTGATCGTTTACCGTACCGGACATTATATGCTGAGGCCACCGATAGTTGGGTGAAACCGCGTGGTGGTCAACCTGAAACGTGGTCAAGAATTATGAAGACCCTGACTAATCCATTGAGCAAAGTGGGTAGGTGTCGCCTGCCTGGATGGGGTTCTCGTGATCAATCAAACCGCTGGTTAGGGACGTTACTCCAGATGACGGTGTGTTGCCGTCAGTGACGTGCGTGCATCCGTACAATTTCTAGTTCTGCTTATTCTTTTACTAATTTTCAAACTTCCAAGTAGCGTTTTCTCTTAGGATATTCCACGCCACTGTTGGAGTGAGCGTCGTCCTAAGCCACAGTACCTTTTGGTCAAGTTTATGGCTGTTATGATGATGGGACCTGGAATTTACTGGCATATGACGACTGATATTGACCAGCAGGTCAAACTGCCAAAGAAAGTCAATGTCTATTTTGGCAAAAGGTTCGCAGCAATCACAATCATCCAACCGGACACCTAACTTAGTGGTTATCGAACCGTTGGCGGCACGGGGCTTTGGGCTGCATGGGTCTTTCGTGAACTGAAAGACGCTAACCTGCGTCCTGGTGTCAACTAGGAACGTGGACCCAGTTTGTACATCTCGGACAAAAGCTGGGCCACAAGGAGAACCAACGCAGATGGACTCCTGTGCTACCACAGGGTGGCTCTTAAGGTTGCATCGTTTCGGTGATATGTTAGTGCATTTTCTGTTTAGGTTTGTGATACCAACACCAGTCAATTGTTGATTACTGCGTCTGGCCTGGGCAGTTTACTGGACCGACAACCTGATGAACAGTTCGGATAAACTTTGTTCGCAATGCTGCGGTTTCTGCTGTTAAGGCTTCGATGTCTGTTGGCCCACGTTTCAGGGTGACCAAGATATCCGAGCGGTCTGTGCTCAGTATTGGACATGGTACAGAATGTGACACACAACTGATAATGTGGTGGTAGCAAACGTTCCACCATTTGATCCGCGACATCCGCTGTCTGTGAGAGAGTGAACGGACTACTGGAACTTGCCTGCCATGCCTCCGATAATCTTTTAAGTCGAACTTCCAGGAGGATGGGTTCGTCCATCTGAGGGGGTTGTCGGGCGTTTTTCGCTTAAGCTTTAGGTCATGGAAAAGTTGTGGTGATCGGGTCTCTCTAGGGAACAGCCCGATTGATAAATCCCTTTCTCAAGGCTTCGTATTTACGATCTACTGGTTGGTTTACAATAATATTTCGAAGCTATCGTAAACTTGGCTAACAACTGGCAGACCCTTGTTTACTCGGACAAAATTCCGTTGTTGAAAAATGCTGCCTCTACGTCAGAAAACCAGAGAAGAGCGTCCGTTTTCAAAAACAGAAGTACTCCTAGAAGGGGGGACAATCAACGTGTTTAGGTGAAATTTCAGACATTGGATAATGGTTTGTGAGCCGTTACAAATTAATATGTAGACTGGATTTGAATAAGTATAAGGTAAATGAACATATCTCGGGCGTACATACGAACATAAAAGATAACTGCTTACGCGTCCGTTAAAAAGCATAAGTGCAAAATGACCAACTCACTAAAGTGCAGGCGTCAATTGTAGTGAAATACTAATAAGTAGTTTGGCGAATTTGATAATTTAAAAGAGGTTCATTTGTGAAAAATCTGGACTTCAACTGGATTCGAACCAGCGACAAAAGCAACATGCCCAAATGTGGCGAATGCTCTACCAGCTGAGCTATGAAGCCATGCCGGAAGCTCAGAAATTTCACATTGGGAAATATTCGGATTTTACGGGGTCACCAGTTGGGACATTTCAACAGCCTGCTTCTTATTACAGTAACACGTGTGACAACGATTCAACCCGTTGGCCCCGTGTATTCTTACCGATCCCTAGAAATAGAATGTACGGAGAAAACACGCCAAGCTAACAAGGTGAAAAACGAGTCGTACTGTTAGCTCCGAGACAAAGCATATTCGCAGCTTGGCTAAACCAAAAGCAAGTAGAAGTACAATTTCCAGGTGTGCTCACTGGGGTGCAATTGTCAGAAATGTTATTCGTCATTGTTGCCACACCCTATTTAGTCCGTGACGGACGTTGCTTTGACTAGACGGCATGTGTAAAAATTCAAAAAGACCGAATGGTTTTATTGCTGCTTTCGCGTACTGAGCTGCCCAATCGAGAATAATCTAAGCGGCACTAAGCAGTCTCAATTTATTGGGAAAACCGCACCTTTTTAATAGAAAAATGACAATATTTACGACTGCTATTAAATGACAGGCGTCCTTACATTTTGATCGGCCAGTTTGCTGCTGTGTTCCACAACCTTGCATCTGGCAACTCGGTTGTTTGAAGCAGATACGCATTCAACAGCAGCTGGTCGTAATCTGCGATTGGTTTGTGCCAGTTTGACTATAATTCCTTCTGTTGCGGCTTGTGCTGAGGTTTCTCCAATCAAGAAACCGCTCCAGTCAAATTTCATTACAGCTGTCCTTTTCCAAATGTCCTTAGAGGAAGCTGGTTGTAAGCCCGAACGAAATTCTGCATAATATGCCTACCGGGCAAGGTTGCTTTAAAATCCTGAATGTGTGTTTGGATACCTGTCAGGAGTGGCTGTGTTTTGTAATAACTCGTAATCACCGCATGGATGTCAATTGTTGTCCGTCGTTTTAAACGCTGTATGTGACGCCGACGCTCGTGGACTTGAACGAAGATAGTGTCATGTTGAAACATGCATATATATGTAATTTCTAGTTTATCGGGCACTGCGCGGTGCGGAGCACTGGCGGTCCTCATGTGACAGTGTGTGTAACATCGCTTGTCACGGTGTGATTGACTGCAAATTGATGATCCGATTAAGTCGTACTTTTTGTTTTTATTTGTTGAGTTTCACGTGCATATGATGCATAAGCATATCTGTTCTCGTTAACTGGTCGAATGGGTTGTAGGAATTCAGAGAGTAGCTTTCCATAAGCCTCGCGGACGACGGGGTTGAATAGCATCGGGCTGATTACAGCAGTGCGTGAAGATCACCCCTTTCTCTAAGTGTTGATTGAACGGGATTGGCGCACGTCAACCGGTAAGTCGAAGTGTTTAATTGGATTAATTCCAGTGGTGAGAAACGGGATATCAACCACGATTAAAATCCAGCGAAAATCGCGACGGTAATTGGTGTATAGGTTTTACTTTTGGTGGCCGAAATTAGTAATGGGCGTGCCATTCGAAGTGTTGTGGCGGACTCTAAACACCGTCCCAAGCGGTAATTCCCGCCTTTGTATTGATTAGAAAGTTCATTCCAGGAGTCGAGGCTTTCACAAAGAAAAGGTGACTGATCGGTGTTTGGCTTGCGACTGTTTTGCTACAGCGTGGTGTCCTGCTAGCTTGAACAGTTTTTCCTCTGGTGATGATCGTCGTCTAGCGCTTCCACCATACGTGACGTCAAAAGCCTTCATTCTCCACTGATCTACACTGGAATTAGGCACGCGTCATAGAAATTCTGGATGACGACTTGGACTGTTAAGTGTTGGGTCAACGGCCCAACAGTTCACGGTGCGCTCACATTTTTCTGGTTTTTGAGTCAGATGGATTGTAATGGCGACATTCGTCAAGCGTCCTGCGCAGGACTGCTATTTAAGCGTTTTTGTGGCCAGCAAACTATCCACAGGATTGTAGTAACTATCTGTCTAACTAATGGTAATGGCAGACCTCAAAATCATTCGTATACTGAATTGGTTCAGATTGCTAGATTATCCACCGGACATGAGGGTAACACGGTTGGCACTGTCTGTGTTCAAGTCACCTTCAGTCATAAGAAGATTGCGGATTTATCGTACAATGACAGCTGGTATCAATCAATTCCGGTCACACGTAGACAACCACAAGATTACAGGCACACCAACATGTCGTGAGTAGTAAACCATGCAGCACGTACGCATTTTTCGGCCATAACCACTCCCTCGTCCAAATTTAAATTACAAATCTAATGTGAATAAGGTAAGTTGTGTTTTGTTGGTAACCATCGTTAATGAGAGTCAGATAAACGAATCGAGATTTCATCCCAAAATGTTTATTGAAACAGTATGCGTATTTAGAGTCTATGACCTGAAGAGGTTGTGAGTCGGTTCACGACTTAGTTGAGAATGGTTTGGACATTTTTACCAAATATTTGTTTAGACTGTAAAACTGCAGACGCTCTTACTACCAAGAGTGGTGTTTTCAAAGACGGTTATCTACTTTATGTAGTTTATACCACTAAAAGTTAATAGATGAAAACGAAAACCTGACATTTTTCTAACCACTCATTTTGACTGTGTTGTTGGTTTTTCCACTGTACACTGTTCAGGACGTAGCTTTTCTTGGGGCAAACAAGTGAGAGGTGCACAGATTTGCGTAACTCGATTAGCCGGCCAGCAAACGATATTCGCATGGACGAAATAATGGAGAACTGTCCTTGGCACTCGAAACGTTGATGCCAGCCCTCTGCGTGGGGGATGATTGATTGCTAGCGGCTGTGATGACTGCCAGGTGTTGTTTGACAATTTTACATTGTGCTAACTATTTTGGGGTGCGCTTTGCAATCTCAAAGTGTGGAGAACTTACGCAAGACTTAGGTGATTAATGATAGGTAATGCAGTTCTGGAAATTGTTGACCGGTTTGTGTACATAAAAATTTCATCAGTGATGCCGGATGTCTTGGTAGTGAATTAGAAGCCCGCTTCTCCAAGATTGGGGTGGTATTCACTGTTCTAGGACAACTCGGGTAGCAAGGAGGCATCGAGTATACAAATAACCTGTGAGGATAATGCTACCTTGGGGCTGTCCGTCTCTTGGTATTTGTCCATCGATATCTGCGTTGGAGCACTGGAAGTGGATGGTATCAACAACTAAGCGACGAGGAGATTAGAAATCGGATATTTGGTGATGAGCGTCAAGGGATTTTCTTTGTTCCGTCTTGAAACATATGCAAATGTAGATGATTAGATCATGTCTTAAGGTGTCACCTAATCATATGTCACTTTTTGCCGGTCACAGACGATCAGCGTAAAGCTTGAAATGGCTGAAGTCCTGGCATAGGGAAATGGTGTCATTTACCAAGAGGTTTACTACTGTAGGTCAGAATTGGGCCGTCGCGCCTCAAAGTCGGTGGCTAGAGACTTCAGGTATTGTGATGGTTAATCGTGCTTGCTGTCTTCCTCGTTTTTTTGTCTGCCAGATGTGAGCATCTTGATGTTGAATGCTTGAGTATGGACACAGTTTTTTCCCCTTACCTTTCTTTCCTGTCTAAGTTTTGCTCTTTTTTAATGATTAAATGGCTTTTAGGCACTAGTGAGAACCACTGGTGTATTGCTGTTCCTGATAATGATGATGACCCGGGTGATTGACGTCGATTAGCAAATCGACTGTGCACTTTCATACGTAGCCTTCGCCGGCTGAGCAGTACTTGTTTCTCCTACTCATTTTTTCGGAACTTACACTCGACGAACAGAAACAGTTGACGTGTGTACGCCTAATACCCCTTTCTTGTTCGGTTAATATTTTAGGTTTACACGTTTACACATAGTTGCTTCGATCCGGTTCTCAACGAACGGTGTAATTCGGTCGCTCATCTTGACATAGTTATTCAACATAGTTGTATTCTACTTCACCTAGATATCATTGGAAATATTCATTACTTCAAAACTTCTCGGCGAACCGGTGTTTGTGTAATGAGTTAAGTTGTTCATGACTGAAGTCAGACTAAACAAGACTATACTTAAAACATTTTGCTGAGTATTCCGTGTGCGGTTGCCGAGTTCTTACCTATTTTCCCGTGGTGTATCTACGTTTACATTGTATTTGAAAGTTTTCTGCGACCCGTTTTTCTGCCAGTTTGCTGTTATCCACTATTAAGTCACCAACAACGCTTTGCGAAAATAAATCCTCAATCTATACTCCCATCTCTCTTCTCTTACTAAAGCAGTGTGCTAAAGAGTTGACATTACCACTCCGTAAACCGTTTAACCGATCTTCATTGAAGAGCAAGCTTTCCAAAGCATGAGAGATGTACAAAGTGTCATCCGTCTTTAAAGGATATGGTCGCTTCATGATCACAGGTCGATTATCGGCTACCTCAGAGGTCTTAATCAGTCAAATTAATGGCCAGTTATGTGCTGGACCGGATAACAGGCAACTGGCTCCGGTTTAACACAAGTGAATGTAAATTAACGCACGTCCGTCACACAGTACAGTGTTTTCTGGGAGTCGAAAACCTGGGAACTACAGCCCATGAGTGGGGCTACAGTAGTCTGTCTCCCAACAGTGTACCAATGGTGAAAAGAGCCACCTCGAAGTTTGAGCTTCTCACAGGCTGCATAAACCGCATAAACCCTTTTTGCCACTATGTTCAACTCGTTAGTGTGCTCCCATCTTGATCTGCATATCCAAACTCGACGTTCTTATTGAGAAGGTACAAAACGGGATACTATAATATGTTCTCTACCTTATCCAGGTAGGTTGCGCATTCTAAGACAGTTCTGAATATGCCACCGTCATGTCAGGAAACTTCGTTCTCGTATGTAGAATTCCCTAATATCCCTTACATAATATTTACCATAGTTGTACCTAGCGAAGTTAACTAGTTCGGAGGTAATTCACCAAATTTACGATGTTAAACGGGCGTTTTCACTTGTGAGCACTGTCTTCACCTCTGAGCGATGAAACAGCCCACCGTTGATTGTCATACTCACGTCATCCGCATTTCAATACACG